ACCTTTCAGTAACGGTGGCACTTTCTTGTCACACAGGACTCCCGTCGCTAACCTCCATTTCATTCACCTCACCCCTATACGGTGTGTGACATGTAAATACATAAATAAATATTATGCAGTGAAACCTCGTTATAACAGTTTTGTTTCTTCCGAATATTTTTGGATGTTATAGAGAATTGTTGTTATATATAACATATATTATAACATAACATGAAAATTGATTTCGGAAAAACTTGGCTTTTATGGTGAAATGTTGTTATATATGGATGTTGTTATAGAGAGATCTGACTGTATTCAGGTAAAAATAATAATTAATCTCCTATTACAATTTAAAATTAAGACCACTTTGATCTGAAACAAGAAAGGCGACGCAACGGCATAATCGGTAAAAGCGGAGCTAGAATTTGAAACTTATGAGTTACTATTGGGTTTTAGTTGTTTTAAGTTATTGAGTTCTAAATTAATACTTTGTAATTATTCAATAAATTTCTCAAAGAGGAATATAAGATTTACACCAAACATACCAAGTTCAGCCGGTGATAACTGATTGAATCGTGGAAGTTGTTACATCTTTATAGGAGATAAGATTGCTCTCACACTATCACGTGCAAACTTAAAATGGAGTACTAATACTATTAACCTTTAGTAAATAAAGAGCCTAACAAAGTGATCGCGAGATAACGATATTGTAAGGAAAACCAAAGATTTTTCTACAACATTCCCAATCAATTTAGATGTGTTTGTTTGAGAGACCGAAATACAGGAATGTACATCATCACAGTTGAAGGGCCAGAAAATGACAATATCTGTTCAAATGTTTCAATAAGGACAGCTCAATTAGTTATCAATCGGAACTTGTTAGATGGCCAAGGTGAAAAAAATGTGTTTTCTTAATGCAGCAGCAGAAGAATTAAATTTTACCTGTTCCATTCAAAGTTCATCTGTATGATCTCTGAAGTGAGAAAACCAAAGCATGAGAAAAGGGAGAGATTACTGAAAAACCATAGGAATGGGTGGAATTGGAAAGCGTTTAATCAATCAGAAGGGAAAAGCTTTCCAACCCACCAATCCCCATAGTTTTCCTGATAAACTCATCTCCCATTTCAGATCTGCTAAACAAATCTCTACCAACCTACTTTGTGTATGTGAATTAATGAATGCAGAGGCGAGACTTTTTATAAGGGAAGCACAAGTGCAGGTCCAGGACAAAGTGTGGTGTGGCGGAAAGGGCTAGGAAGCTGACCTATTAAATGTTGTGGACTCTGGCATTTGGATAAGCATTCTCGTACGCTTATTTCATGACTTGTTCAATACTCTGGCCCCCCCACATTTTATTGCCCTTTCCCTACCTTGGAAAATTAATCTGTTTTTCTAATATATTAAGTACATTTAATATAGCATGAGGGATTTCTTTGTTTTTGTATACGGTCAAAATCGTATGCCTCCGACTTATAGGCTCGAGGGCCCGTCCTGAGTCCAAGTCCGGACAAGATCAAGTTCGAGCTTGAGGGACCACACCCGAGTTCGAAGGCGAAGCACGATGCAAATCGAGGTCGAGTGTGTTCGACCCCGAAATAGTACCATTATGGATTTGTACCAGAACGAGTTAGATTCCTGTCACGTTCTCAAAGTCATGGCGCAAATCCCGAAATATGATTGTACTAGTTCGTATTAGGCGGTTAGACAGTTGTACCAAGAATATTCCTTACTGTAAATAGAAATATTCCTTATTTAGGGTTCCCCAATTATAGAAAGAGGACATCAATCATTTGTAATACCACATAATCACTAAGAAAAGAATATATTCTCTACCTTTTTGCCTAATGTTCATCAACATTGCCCTTTAGCTCCTTTGTTCTTACTTTATTTTTATTACTTAATCATTCTTACTGCCTTAAGCCACCTCGAGGTCACTAAGCTCGAGGCCATCGCTAATGTTTCATTCACTTCTATCTTTCATCTCTACTTCATATTTCTTGATTATTAATTGGTATTAAACTAAATCACATATCTTTAAAATCACTAATCAAATTTAATTCTTACTCGTATTTTCGAGGTCAACAGTTTTAATGCCATTCTGGAATCAGGAATAGAGCTTTTCATGGATCGGATCGGATTTAACATATTTCAGATTCGAATTTTGAATTTTGGATTCTAGAAAATGTAATCCGAATTAATATCGGATCGGATTTTCGTAATTTCGGATCAGATTATTATGCCTCAAAGTTGCAAACTCATATGTATATTTTCTTTGTAAAAGAGGCAATACAATAAGAAAAATTCATGTTTATGCAATTATGAGAGTATAATGGTGCCAATATAGCTAAATCGAGCAATTGCAAAGGTAATAACTTGGAGGAAGATATAAAGGAAGTACTGGCTATCCGAAATTAAAGTTTAGTATTTATACATACCCTATTAATTTCGGATTTCAGATCGGCTCGTATCGGATTAAAATTATACCAATCCGAATCTGAAATCCGAAATTCGAAAATTTAATAAACACAATCCGAAATCTGATCTAATCCAAAATCCGAAATTGAACGGCTCGATTCGAATTTCGGATATCCGATCCAAATGAACAGGCTTTGTCAGAAATACCAGGGGTAAATGAGATTTAATTAAGCTTAATGCATATAAAAAAGATAAAGTAATATCCTAAGAAGATTCTTTTACTGGAATAACGTGGGTCTAATGTTTTGTCAGGATGAGATATTGTTGTTTGTTGATGCCGATGTTAAAAGAACGTGGAAAATGCAAGTGTCGGTGTGGTAGGTGGAAAATGTATATCACCTGATGTATTAGTGTATATCAATCGCGTATATCTATTTCTCTCCTGTATATAATGCATATTGATACACATGCAGAGGAGGAGCCAGAATTTCAAGTTTATGGGTTCGGGATTCTAATCGTTTTAAGTTACTGGGTTCTAACTTAATAATTTATACATATTTAATGAAATTTTTAAGACAAATACAAGATTCGAACCAAAGCTACTGGGTTCGACCGGACCTTCTGGCGGCAATCTAGCGCCGCACACATGTATATGTATATTCATGAAAATCTTGTGTGATATATACTGATATACAATGATGTATATCAATAAAAATCTTTGGTGGTTTTTTGCGATTTAGTGATATCAACGTGATATGCATATTGATAAACAACAGCTTAAACTTGTACTGAATATTTGGTGATTGTTTGCGATGGATCTGAATTTTGTAAGGACACAAGCGTGAAATTAGGAATTGAATATTCAAGTTTTTCTATATTTAAGTTCGTTTGGTAGGATTTGGCCATCCATTGCCAATTATTTTAAGCTTTAATTATCAAGACTAATCTTAGGCTAAAATTTTGCCAATTATTATTAGGAATGGTATGTGTTTGACTAAATAAGTATTAAACCTTTTAGTTAAACTAATTAATCGAGAAAAAGAGGGTAAATCCTAGCTAAACATAACTAACTCTAGATCCGAACATATAAAATACGAAAATCGAAGGAGACCGAGCTTGTATAATATTTCTTAAGATGATTAACATACATCAAATGTAAATGATAAGTTTACATCTTTGACATATTGTTCCATACTTGTAAGAGCAAAGAAGGAAAAGAGGAAAAGTTGTTGATAACTATCATATCTATCCTTTTGGATTCAACAATGGTGACTACAAGAGGTGACAACCAATAGCTGAGCCTTTGGTTCGTTGTTGGAGATCTCCTCTTGTTCTCGTCTTTAACATATATTGATTCGCCTCTTTCTGGGATGGGAGCCCCTCATATAATATTATCAATTTTTCCATTTATCCAACGGTCTTTAACCAGCGTACCCTCTCATGACTGTACTCTTCCTTATTCGCCCAAGTATCACGACATGTTCTGCGGTGTAATCCTTCTGACGGCTCGATCTTGGCAGTGGCGGGGATGCTCGTTGCTAGTACGCCTCGGGGGAACGACTACGGCTTGGTCGATCCCTTATCGTTCCTTTTAATGAAAACCATCTTGTGGTCAGATTTTGACCCATACAGTTAGTCCCTTCGCCTGTTGGGGTCACCTTTTGGCGAGCTCGATGGGCGGATTCTATTGATTCAAAAGTTAGGAGAAATCTGAATATTATGCATGGAACAGGTCCTTAAGGTGAGGTGGCGACATGACGCTTCAAGGATTTCATTGGACCGTTACGTCACTTCAGAGTTGGATCGTCGCATCGATTCAGGGTACCATGAATATCCATTATGTATCATTATAGCGCATGATTCCCAGGAACCGTATCGTTTCCCGTGCCCTTTAAGTTTTTTTTGATTGGCGGCTCTTGGGTTTCCCGCTCAGGACATTTATGTTCTATAAATAGGGGGAATCCCTTATTTGATTGTTGTGTTTTTCAATTTACCTGAGAAAGAACTTTGCAAACTTCCTCTTCCTTTAGTCTTTCATACTTCTTCTTTTGATAGAATTTGAAGTGACCATTATCTTTTTTCCCTCACCGTTCTTGTTTATTTCGATCAACAAAGATAAATGGCTAGTACTTCTTCCCAATCCGATAGAGTTGTTGGTGCTCCGGTGCTAGAAAGCGATGTATCCCTACTCGAAGAGGGAGTGGAGGTGGTGGAAGATGAGGGATTTCCAACTGTGGATGAGATAGTTCCTCGTTTGGGGAAGGCGAGAACTGATTTTTATAGCCCATCAGGAAGTGAGCCGGAGTCAGTTCCTTCCACCATGGATGAGGCGGTGATCGCGGCGCTTAAAGCTAAGTAGGGGATCCCTGCTCACATCAAAATGGTTCCGGTGGGGAAGTATATTGTGCATTTGCACCGCCCGGGGTACTGCGCGTTTTACGCGTACCCCTTCGTTGTTAGGTACACGTTTCCCCTTCCTTTTCTGGTGGTGGACTTCTGCTGATTCTACGAAGTGTGCCCAGCTCAACTCTCCCCGTACGCGTACAAACTCTTTCTTATGCTCATCAAGTACACGAAGATGGTCGGCCGAGGAATTTCCCTGGGGCACATGTTTCATATCTTTGACCCTCATTTTCTTCGGGGTACGATGATCCATATACGCCATCGAGGAACCAAGCGTTTGGTGGTGAAGATGGACGACAAGTCCAATCGCCGCTTTTGGGAAAGCTACTTCTATGTGCGGATGGAGCACCTCATGGCGGACTCGGCTGAATTTCCATAGACGTAGAACTTTGCTCGTAAGTTTTCCTTTACTTTGTAATTCTTCTTAAGACGGTCGTCGATCGTCTTCCCTTAGGAGACATTGCTGAGTACTTGTTGTCTTTGCAGCCGAGAGATTACCTCCCCCGCTGGTCGCCGATATCCGTGATTGGGTGAGCGCAATTTTACCCCACACGGTGGGTATTCGCGAGTGGATGCCCTTCCATGAAAAGTTTGGGCATAAGCCTCTTACTGGTGACTTGGCTTGTAGTTTTAATTTGTTCCTTACTTCATAGTTTTTTTAAAAACTTTGTCGTTGTACGATCTAATCCCTCCTTACTGACAGGTCGGGGAGGAGTGATGAGAAAGAGGGCTCCTCCGCTCGCATTCCTTCAACTGGCGCCTTCTACTCGTCCTGCGCTGAGGGCTGCTATCCAGCCAGCACCAAGAATTATATCCAGCCTGCACCTGCGGCCAATGTTGTGCGCTTGGAGGTTACTCAGCCGGAGATTCCGACTCCTGCAGCCCATTCCATTGGTGAATCTTCCTGAGTAAGTAGTGGGGAGGACCCACCGAAGAGACGGGGGTGCTGTTGGAAAAGGTTTCCCCGGCAGAAACTTCTTCGAGGAGCATCCTTGCCCCAGCGGTGATCGAAGTCGGAGATAGTTCCAACCCAACCATGGAGACGACGCCCATTGTGAGCATGCAAGGGGTTGATTTGGCGGAGAGACAGAGTTTTGAGGCCGCCGTTTCTGTTTCGAGCGACCCTTCAATATCGCGGCCGAACCACGCCCCCATTTCAGCTAGTGAGATGGGCAAGGGCGTCGTGGTTGACGATTATGAATCTGAGTCCGACATCGATCCTGAGGATATGAGGATGTTCGAGGAGAGCTATACCTGAATCGTAGTATAAGCGGGAGGCCCTTCTCGGATACTCGAAATTCCGTCTGAACTCATCTTGCTGCAAGATACGGTGGACTTTGTGCCGCAGTTCGACCTTCTATGCTCCGCCTCTGAAAGTAGAGCTTTTCAGGATGTTAGCGACTCCGCGTTGTCGCGCGGT